ATGCACCTCGCGTGGGCGAAACCTACACTGTTCGATACTAGTCTTGATGAGTGCTAAAATTTGGAAAGCATGAACTTAATATTTAACTTGAGGGATTTTGTTATTAGTTTGATCTCACCGGCTTAACATGCAATTCGTCTCTCTCATGCATCAACATACAAACACATGCATCAATATACATAAAAGGATACAATTATGGCCCCTAGCGCAATTGTTCTCCCAAGCCAATGAGAGAACCTAAGCTAACCTAATAACGATCTAAACTTCTCCAAGCAAGATCTCTAAGGTTATCCTCCTTTGATATTGTATTATTCTCTTTCTTCATAACATTACATTACATAAAAGAAACTCGTTTTACATACGAGGGAGTGAGATGAGAAAAGAAGTTACATCAAGAATTTTAGAGAGAGGCACGACACGCAGGCCGTATTTTACAATCCCAAAACAAAATAAAGGAAAAAACTAAGGCCATAACTGATCACCACAAGACAATAATAATAAACACACTTTTATTATTAGTTTAAATTTTGTTAATTAAAAAAAAGGTAAATTAAATTTCGACGATTGATCACACTACGCAGAGTTAGCCGGGGGTTCCGCTGCCCGGTCAGCAGACGGTGGTTCCGCTGACCGTTCAGCGGACGGGGGTCAAGGGGGGCAACGCCCCTTTGCGGGTTTGTTAGGGGCAGCGCCCCTACGCAAAATTTTAATGAACAATTCATTTGAAATCGGCGTCATTTTTGCACAACTCTTGTGCATTCACAACCCTAATCGCATAACTCTACAACAACACAACCCTTGTGCCGTCATGAACCCTAATGCAACAGTTTCATGCTGTCAAACACATTTCGATTGATAATTCAGTATGATTAATCACATGCCATTGCTTCACCATATTAATGTCGAATTCCGAAACATATGAACAGTGATTGGTCAAAGGAATAACAATCATCAAGTGTTTGAATGAACGAAACAAAAACAGTATATCCCATATACCATCGTTGCATCAGATTTACTTATATCATATATAAAAGTGATCGATCTTATTTGTGTAACCTATGGACAATCGATGTATCGCTGCTTCACCATACTAATGTCGGATTCCGAAGTATAGTCAACATCAATCATCCAAATCATACACAACAGATGCCAAATTTAATTACTCATTTATTATTCAATTCATTCCGGTTTTAATCGAATCAAAACAAAAAATATAGAACATAAACAACTATCAGATCCATGGTTTCGTAAGTGGCTCTGATACCACTGAAGGAAAATTGCGATCAAAAGCGCAGCGGAATTTAAAATTTTCCTTTAGCGATCCTTATAAATGAACATGGTCAGTGATAGAAATATTTACCTCTTGTGGCAATTCAGACCTTTGATGTTGTGATCACGAGCGTTGATGAAGAACAACGCCTCTACTCAGTCCACACGAACAGATCGCTTCCGGTCACAGTGCTAGCTGATCACGAACGGAAACCTTGAGTGAGAGAGAGAATCAAAAACGAAATTGCATCAAGTGAAATTGCTTCATCACAAGGGATCTATTTATAGAATCACTCGTGTGGGCTACAAGCTAAAAGCCCAATTAAGGCTATAAGCTAAAAGCCCAATTAAGCTTATGGACATCATACCTTATGATGTACCATATATCACTTATCGACGTGGTACCTTACCACTTTCCGTATTACACTTAAGTGCACCGTATCTTACGGTGTTCCTTATTTATTCTATCTCTCATCAACCTGTCCTTATGTGTGTGACCCTGTAGGTTTTCACGACGTTGGCAATTATATTAAATCACACATTTAATATAATAAATAGTGAGCGGTATCTAGCAACACATCACTGTTACCCAAGTCACGAAAATGTCATGTGATCTGACCAAACCTTTTCCGTGATAATATTTGTGTTGTACAATTACCCTTTTTCCCTCATGTCTATATTGAACACAAGGCATACACTATGTCATCCTTGTCCAGTTCAATATTGGGCCCTTAGACATTTATCTTGTTATGCAGGATGAGCAAATTCCATCTAGGTCACTCATGTCCCTTAGCATGCTTTGTGAAGTACCCATCAACCGTCTTTATAGTCATCCAGTTACGGATGACGTTTGATCAACAATAAAGTACTTGACTCTATATCTAGGGTCCATAGTGGTTTCAGGTCGAAGGGTGGTATACACCATTATCATCATGAGAATAACTTATGACACTTTGCATAACATTCTATGTAGTATTCTCATAGCGGGTTAATCCAGTATAAATATTACTCCTAATATTCATACCTACGTCAAGACTTGATAACTCCTTATCTATGATCCATGAGATGTGATCATCAATCTATCTTCATAATAATCTTAATGCTTTAATGTTATCCCACTTCACATTAAAGCTTGACTACGGATACTTTAAGAATAGTGTCTTATGTTTAATGGGATCTCATGATTAAGTCACACTTAACATTTCATTAAACAAATAAACCATTCTAGGGACTTTATTATTTTGGAAAGCAAACATAATAAATAAATTCCTTTTATTATTAATAAATAATTCGATACAAGTACCAAAAGTATTGACCTCTAGGGCTTACACCAACATAAACATCATTGAGTTTAATTTGATTTTGTTCTCATTCTTGTAGGTATTCAAGCATTGATATTTGGGCATTGTTAGATAGAGCATTGAATATGCTTTCAAATGCTTTCGACCGTGCGCGAATCGAAGTTACGGTTCAAAAATTATGGTTAAATATGTGCTGGTTTTTCAACTTTTTGTCATTTGTCGTCGGGCGACGCTTTTTGGTCACCGGACAACGGTTGCGGATCACAATTTTGTTATATTTTCCTTTTTATTTCATTTGGAGTTATGGCTTTGAGGGTGATTTTTGTTCTCCCAATTCCATCAACCTCATTTTTGTAGTGGATTGACTTAGATAACAACACTAGGGCTTGCATACAGAAGATCTGGGGCGGATTGCTCGTCGACCGACTCTGACAATCCGAAATATTTGTGGTTTATCTCTTCTCCTCTCTATGTATTTCTCTTTTGTTGGATCTTGTAAGTATTTTACTCTGAACATATGTATATTTGTCGCCCATGGCGTTATATTAAACTTGCTTTACAAATCTTTGTGGATTGTTGTCTTAGATTTTTGCTCTATGTCAGGGATTTGAGTTGTTATAGACATATACTGCTTAGATTCTTATCTAGCATGATTATCTGTTAGTTTATGAATTCTAGAGATAGATTTAGAGCCGACATCTACTTGAGTATCAGAGCTTAATGCCTCTGTGTGGTTGTGTTGTACTGAGAGATCGTCAGTGCGATTACATAAGTTGTCTTTTGTGTTGTTGAGGAGGTAGAGAGATCATTTCCTTGGTGATACAGCTGGTCTCTCAATTTGGGTTAGAAATGACTTAAGTTGTGAGTGATAGATACGTAGTGACATTGATGAGTATTGTTAGATTGAATGTAACTGATCGATAGATTTAAGTCTGTAATGAGTAGATTATATGCAAGCTTGATAAGTTCTTCCTTAGTTTTTACTTTTGTTTACATTTATTTTCTGTTGATAACATTTTCTTTACAAACTCATTTATCCCCAAACTCATTAACGAGAGATTTGTCGAACGACAATTCAATAACCAATCTCTATGGACACGATAAATTCTCGGATAAATATTTCCAAAACTTTTGTTGCTTGCCGCTATAACGCTTCCAACAGTAAATATGTGATGTATCAGTGCGATAGCACATATTTCATTTTTAGCATATTAGAAAAAAATGCTAAATAAGTCGGCCTATATATGCATATATAGGTCGACGTATAAGGTTTCTTAAGTAATATGAATTTATTGAAAACCTTAATGAAAAACAAGCTTTTAAATAGACTTTCAGGCCAGATTTTTAAAAAGATCAGACCAGACCAAAAAAATGAGCCTATAATATATCACAGGCCAGACTCAGACCTTGTAAATTTATTGTAAACCAGACTCAGACTTTATAAAACTTAGCCGATGTCCACCACTATTCATCGTTAGACCAATCTTAATATCAGGGAGGGACAATAAAGTATATAGAAGCAACTTTTAATACTAAGTACATGTTTGGTATCACATTAATTTTGTTGAAAAATCCAAAATATAGTTTTTTTTTTTAAATCACGTGACTCACCGTTATTCTAATTGTGATCAATCATAATAGTTGTAAGAAACTATGGTTTTCTATCATGTCTTCACTTTGCACAAAGACAAGGACAGAATGCTACTGCTAGTGTGTGGTGGCAACTTTATGTCAGCATTGGTATCCAAGTACAACTTTATTTATGTGATAATAGATATGGAGTTCCTATTACAAGCAAAACACAAGAAGCAATAATTGTCAAAGTAAAGCTGAAAATGAGAGAGTTTCAAACAAGTTGTGTTGAAATAGAATTTCAAAGTCAAACAATAAGCAAAAATTGTCATTGTAAAACTAACTGATAAATAGACTTCTATTTCAAATTTGACAAACTTGTCAACTTAGAAGATTGTTTATTTCACCATAAATATCCTACAAAATCTTATCACCAACTAGTGTTTATACAGATGTTGGTCACGGAGGGAAAAAAACTATGGAAAAACATTTTAATTACTAATATCTGGGAAGGCATGCTAAATTGCTAACAGTCTAAAAGGACACTACTACTACTCTATCAGGCTCTCCATGTATCAGTGAAATTTGGTGTGAACCTGGGAAGAACTTCTGCCATAACTATTCGAGTTACTTTGCGCAAAGCTGGGAAAGATATTCATCACACACCGAGAGGTTAAGCATATCTGAACTAAACCTGAAACAATCGAAAAAATACAATAAGCTTTTCGATGTGACATGTTACACGAAACATTACAAGGAAAAGGAACAAAAAGATTAGAAGTCTGAAATGAGTCTTAAAATCATACCTTCAACCTAATGAGTTCTCAAACAAGTTTCTAAGAGTTCAGTATCATATCATTATGCAGGCACCCAACAGGTCGATGCATATAAAATGCGGCCTTTCCAACCTTGAAGCATCCAGTTGTTATCTTCATCGAAGACAAAATCTTTGTGGTACCATTCTCTTAGCTTACCTCTAAATTTGACCATTATCTCCTTATCAAGTGGGAGCTGCCTAAAACCGGCCCGTAGATTCCTAACCTGCCACTGTTTGTATGACTCCGGCCTCTCAACCCTCTCAAAACCTTCACATGCTACAACATTCATAATCTCCCGACCCAAAAGCTCTCTCTCAATCGTCAGCCTCCATTCATTTTTACGGGGTATGAGAGTGTCAAACACATCATACATTGCAGAATAATGGAAAAGCGACTCCTTGAAGCGCGTGGCAAAGAAAGGAGCATTGTAAGATCCATTTACTATAGATTGAACAAATATACTCGGGTTTATCTTCCTGATTAACTTCAGAACCGCGTCTTTAGGACTGTTCACTTCAATTGTCTCATCATGTAAATTCTTAAACCTTATCAGACAGTTCACAGCAACTACCTCATTGCTCTTAATATTAAGGTCTTGAACTTGAATGGTTTCCCAGTTTCGCGATGGTACGGCCTTGTATTCAAAGGAAACATTGAAACGCTTACAATAGTTAGCTAAACGCCGGCCAGTTTCCTCGATTCTTTCAGCCGGTCGAAAGCCAGCTTGGGGATACTCTATTCCGGTGATGCGAAGCTTGGGAGGTCCACCATCTCTTTCTGACAGAAACTTGATAAGAATTGGCCACTGGAAACCGTATAAGATACCAAAATCAATAATGTGAAGTGTTTCTGCCTTTTCAGCTGTTTTCAGTATCATTTTATTTGCAAAGAAATGCGCAAATTTTTTAAAAGGTAAAACAGATATAAAAACTTGGTATGCTTTCAAGTAATCAGCAGCACTAAACATCTTCTGGCTCATATATAATATCTGTGTACCAGTACCGGCACCAACCATGCGTGCTTCAATTGCATTCGTAAAGTAATGAGCCAACCTCTGAGAAGCATCACCCAAAGGAGAAGAATGCTGCCTAATCTGCTTAAACAATTCATTAGCCGTCCGGTTATCATTACCAGACACAGCTTGTGCACAAAGAACCAAAAGGGTCCTCAAATCCACAGCTTCCCTCTTCCTCCCCTGTTTCTTCGAATGCGCCTTCCCTCCATCAAGCTCACCAACCTGTGCGCTACTCTCCATCTCCGATCCATCCTTTTGTTCAGCACACAGCGGCACGTTTTCAACACTAAGCAAAACCCTATCAAACATCTCAGATATTTCACTTTCCTCAACATGAACCGCAGATTGTTTGTTACTTCTCCCTTCTTCATCTTCACTACCTTGACGCTCGTGATTCTTCCTACTCTTCAACAAAACATACGAACTCGAATTCCTCAAATTCGAATTCTCCCTAACACTATCCTCCATCTTTATACCTCCCACTCTCCCCTTAGCCTCTTGAGACACAAAACTAGTCTTAGAAGTCTCAAAACCAGTAAAAAGCTGAGGCTTTTGAGGAAGAAACTTACTAGCTTCCTCCAACCCTTTTCTAAACTGCAACATAGAATCAGCATCACTAAAAATATTCAGAGCCAAAAGCTTAGTCTCAGAAGAATCCAAATCCAAAACACCATCACTAATATTATTACTACCATCACTATTCAAACCAACAAATTGAGAATTCACATAAGAAACGGAATTAAAACCAGAATCACCTGAAACCGGTGTATCAGGAGAAAGAGGCTTCAACTCATTAGAACTAGAACTGTTACCAGAATCAGTAGCCGAACAATTCCTATCAGGAACTTCAATGATATCAAGAGGGTGTTGATTAGGTGAAAGAGGCAAATTTGAATCCAAAGCATCGAAGAAAATTTTCTCAGTGTGTTGGAGACTAAGTGAGTCATAACACATGCAGGGTTTTTGTTCAAAATCCTCTTCCATGAGAATCTGGCTTATGTATTTTACAGTTTCTGAAAAATCAGTGTCTTCAATGGAAGAAGAATCAGTGGTGGTTGAAACGAGTGGCTCCTCCGAATTGGAAAAACTCGGAGGAAAATCAGGTGGAGGAACATGAGGTAGATAGAAATAAGAATCAGTGGTTGGATTTGGATCAGAAAGGAAGAATAAGTTACCATTGTCGTCGAATTCAAAGCTTGTTTCGAAGTTTGGATCCATAGCTTGGTTGGTTGGTGTGTTTCAGGGAAAGGAAAACATAATCATAAAAGTATGGGAAAAACAAAACTCATACTCCTTTCATCCCATTTTATAATTAAACTTTTTATGTTCCTCAAAAAGTTACTTGGTCAAAAAGCTATTTTCTTTATTAGTCAATAGTATATAATTTATATATAGATCAGATGTATTAAATATTTAATAAATTTTAAAAATAATTTTTACTTATAATATGTGATATATGGAGTAGGATATTATTATGATAATAAAAAAGAAAAAAATTACTTTTCATTTTAAAATAAATATTATTTTAATAAATAAATTTTATTTTAAAATAATATTATTTTTACTTTTCAATAAATAATAATTATTTTTTTTTTAATTAAATTATTTATTTTTTATTTTCTACACTAATTTTAATATATTAATAAATTAATTTTATAAAAGTATAATATTTTATAATAATATTATTACATCCTTTAGTTTATATAAAAAACCTTAAACAACGTCATTTTGAAACTGAAAAAGTAAAAACAGATCCAACTTTTCTAAAATATTAAATATACATTTTTGAGCCAATTTTGACCATAAACTCAAATTCAATTGGAGATATTTATATATATGCAATTGGTAATAATTAATTTGCAAAAAATATTAATTAACTTTTTTTCATGGTTGACCAACAGGGTTAAATAAATTATGGTTTCCTAAATATATTACTTTTTATTTTTAGTATTTCAAAATATTTTATTTAAATATTTTTTCTTTCCTTCACACTCTAGTCTATTAAATAACTTTTAATAGGAAAGCTAAAGTGATATGTCATTCCTCATTATGATAAATTTTTGTGATTGAATGCATTTATGTCAATGACAAACATGATAAGTATGTCGACATAATCTACCACATGAAATTTTAGACTAGTTTATATTCTCTCTCTTTCAAAATATCGTCATTTAAGATATTTTTTTTCTCACATATATTAAAAAAATATAATTATGTTGTATTAGATATTATAGTTTTATTTAATTAATTTTATTAAAGTATTGAAAATGATAATTATCTATTAGTTGGTTAAATGATGATTGACGCTTGATTTGATAGATAGAATATTTTGCTAAAATAACAGATATTTTGAAATGAAATGAGTATTATTTATATTAATTAAAAATATAGAGACAATAATCTAATTGTTAAATCCGTCGTATAAGATGAATATTCATATCGTTGAACTCAAAATTTATAACTAAATCCATTGTATAACTCAAAATCTATCATATGATGTATTATGTCAGCTTCCATTAACGAAAGTTAATTGGAGAGATCAAACTATGTTACATGAGAAGGCCAGCAAGAAGAGTCTGCCCTCGACCATATCGGGTAGTAACTCCACTCTTCTGGTTGACTTGGTTTGACCTACGGGGATAACCCATAAATAGTGAGGAGATCCAATAATGCTTGAAAGTTTCTCACGGGCATCATCCACTCTTCTCGTCGACCAAGACAAATCCTCCGAGCATCGTCCTCGTAAGACTGACACTCAACACCCCTGAATATCACGGAGTCCTCTTAACCCCGAAAAGACTGCATTCATAACCTCCTGATACTTCAAAGGAATCCGTCCAGGTTAGGGACCACGTGCTGGCCTCCACTACGCACGTAGGACATGACAGTTTCCATTTTTGGGTCTGCTTGCTCACCCCAACGATGGGGATCTTAGCCCAGCGATGGGGCTATAAATATCCTCTCACTTGAGAGGGTCGGGTATTCAATCACTCACTCATATTCTCATACTCGCTTGCATTAACTCTGAACCTCACTTTGGCATCAGAATGTCTTGCAGGTATCCCCCACTTCACATCCAACTGCTGCTCGACTTGAAGCTTGTGGGCTTTGACAATCCCTTCTGATCAGATACGACCAGTGGCACCGTTTGTGGGAATCCAGCTTCCCCATCTTCCTCTCAAGACCAAAGCAACTCTTCATCAAACTGTATGATTGTCATGGCCGACCAAGTTGTCGACAATAATCAAAATGCCCATCTCTCTGACCCTAACAACAACAATGTTGACGACAACAATGTCGGCAACAAGTACGCCGACAATGACATCGACATGGTCGGTCCCGAGCAAAACTACAGAGATGGACTGACCGCCTCTTCATCAACCAGCTCACAATTGCGTGAGGACGACTATCATCCTCCACAAAACTATGAACCAAATGCATACCAGGAGGTCCCCGTCCCTGCAGGTGTTGACGCTATAATAAGAGCTCTATTCACAGCCATCAACCAAACCAACTATATGATCTTTTCACAGGGTGAGCGGCTGAGGATGCTCGAACAAAATCGCCGAGGCCCCAGAAGACACAGGAGACCCGACACTCCTCCTCCCCGATGGAATGATGACTCTCCCCAATCTCTCCCGCAGAGACGCGGACGGGACGACTCGTGAGCCCATCTCCCCGACGAGTTGGGCGAGGTCCTGCATTGGAGAGGGGCTAGCCCAAAGCTGTGGGGAGGTGCGGCCACACTCCCCAGCGCAGGGAGCAGCGATCCCCTGGAAATAACATAAACAGAGGAAATGGAGAAAGACAATCTCAGCCAAGAGATCCTCCCCGTGGCCTAGGCTGTCACAACGACCTACGCTACAACCGATCCCCCTCCCGCTCTCCAGAAAGAAGTGACGAAGACGACCCCCGCGGTCCATTGTCCCAAACAATCATGGAGGCTCCCATTCCTAGAGGAATGGAAAAAATACCCTACTAAAGGAGTACGGTGACATTGCTGATCTTGTCGACCATATTGACGGGTTTGAAGCAATACTCCACTACCACAACATCAGGGGACCAATTAAATATTGGTTGTTCACCACGACACTCATAAAAGAGCCATGGACTGGTACAAGAACCTCTCCCCCGAGTTGATCACCTCCTGGAGGAGCCTCAAGAACCAGTTCATCAACAGCTTCACTGCGTCTTATCGAAATCTGAAGACTAAGGCCGCCCTTAAGGCAATCGTCCAAAGGAGCGACAAGAATCTTAGAGAATGCATTGATCGGTTCAACCGCGAGTCCATTCAGGTCCCGTGCACCGATCACATGAAACGATGTCTGCTCAAGAGGGAACTCTTTCCGGGAACTGAATTCAGAAAGGTCGTCGGCATTGAACCTCCCCGATCTTTCTACACTCTCCTTGAAAAGGCCTGGGCATACATGGACTACAAGGAGAAATAAGCAGCCAACAAAGCCCACGAGTCGAGGAATCATGGACCGGCTAACATTCTGCGACACCAGGATGCAAACCCTTCTCGATGGACTGGGGAGAGGAGAAACCCCGCGATCCCCGTGAACATAGAGGACCAGCAGGGCGGTTCACAGAGTACACCCCACTGACCGCTTCCCACGAGCGTATCCTTGCGGAGTGCTCTAATATTGAGTTCAAGGACGCTGACGTCAGACGTCCTCGACCAGCTTCTGCAAAGCCTCGCACAGACAAAACAAAATATTGTCAGTATCATATGAGCCATGGACACTTGACAGAAGACTGAGTCCACCTCAAGGATGCCATCTAGACTCTCATCAAGAGTGGGAGACTCGGGCAGTACAGACGCAACGACGCCCCTCCCCAAGACACCCGCGAGGTAAAAGAAATTAGGGAAGAAACCCTACCATCCGATGAATCGGGTCCCCTCCAGGTGGCTTTCTCCGTGACAAGGCTCGAAGACTTCCACATCCCCGACAGCTACGAGGATCAACCCTTGTCCATACACATCAAATGGGAGAAATTCCCCTTCGCCATGGTTATATCTGGCGGGGGATTCAACAACATCTCAGTGAACTCGGTGAAGAGGAAGCTCGACGAGTTGGTGGACGCAGCCCCAACCCAGGCAGTAACGCTTGAAAGGTTCAAAGGAAAATCTGAGCCAATCACTTTCTACCTGGAGGAGCTTCCCGGCGGAGACCCGAACTCAAACATTCCTCTGCTGGTGAGGGCAAGGATGGTCAACTTTGACATACATCATATTTTGGTCGACGAGGGGAGTTCCATCAACGTCATGTACAACCATCTATTCTAAACCCTGCAGCTCGACGATACCCACCTGTCATTATACATGGGGTCCGACCTGTAAGGATTCAACGGCTCGACCTTCAAGTTGTGGGGCTACATTGAGCTCTTTGTCACCTTCAGGGAAGAAATTGTATCCCGATAAGTCAAGGTGCAGTTTCTGGTGATCGACTACTCGTCTCTCTACAATTTCATATTGGGGAGACCGACATTGGCCGAGCTGACCGTCGTGCCCTCCACGGTCCATTTGAAGATGAAGTTCTACACCAGAAGGGCCTGCGTCGCCATTATCCATGGAGACATCGCGGCTTCTAGGAGATGTTTCCACGCGGCTTCCAAAGGGAAAATCATGGTCGACACTGGGCCACGGCCCACCAAAAGAGAAAATACAGCTCGGCCTGAATCAAAGCCTGCTCGGATCAAAGAACAAAAGGCACCACCAAAGGTCGACTCTATTTTGCTCGATACCCGTTTTGACAAAGATGAAGTCGAAACCCCCAATGGCGAACATGATCCTCTCTGACCCATCCAAGACGAAGACTTCGAGTTCATCCTCCTCGGCTCAGATCCCTACAAAGGCGTGAAGATCGGCTCTGGACTCTCTGACCTGGAAAGGAAGCAACTCAAAGCTTGCTTGAGGGAGAATGATGATTTGTTCGCATGGAATGCTACAGAGATGCCCGGATTTGACCCTGAGGTCGTCTGTCACCGACTCTCCGTAGATCCAATCGCTATGGCAGTAGTGCAACGTAAGAATAGGCAGTCTCTCGAAAAAGAGGAGGCTGCTGAAAAAGTTGTAAAAGACCTCCTAGAGGTAAATTTTGTTTTTGAGGCCCGATATTCAACTTGGATCTCAAACGTTGTACTTGTCAAAAATAATAATGGAAAATGGAGAATGTATGTTGATGATACTGATCTTAATCGGGCATGTCCCAAAG